TTTTTTTCTCAAGTTTAAGAAATTACAATTGCAAAGTTAAAAAAATAATTCACAGCTATGTTTGCTTCATACAACAAAAACAAAAGTCCTGCATCATGTCTCAGCTGGTTTTCTTACCTGCAATGAGCAGCAAATGCTTTCCACTCGCCATGATCAAAGGTACTACGGCCAAGAGAAGCTTCACTTTAACTCAGTCACGGAGGAGTGACAAGTGACTAACTGGCTGCTTCCCTTAATGAGTCATGTTGAGGAAGTTGAGGGAGGGCCATGCATAATAGTACTAGAGGAAAACTTTTCTTTTTTTTTTTAAACTATCAAATCATCTTAGTATACTTCAGCTTTTGACTTAGATTTTTCCTCAGTTTTCCTCCTCCGCAGTATTTTGTCCTATAATGCTACGGACAGAGAAAAACAGGAATGATTGCGGCAGTTTTCTTCACACAAGTGATAAAACTGTTCCAGTAAGCTGAAAGAGAGGAGCTTGGGAACTTTGAAGGGTGGGAAAGTTTTAGCACTCTGTGATAATGCAGGAGAGGGCTCTGGGGACACTAAAGGTATTGAACATACATGCTTACCTCATATAACGGTGAAGAACACCTGAAGCAAACCACTCAAGTGCGCCATTTTGTTTATTTATTTATTTAGTTGGTTAGTTCTTCTTTTCATATTTTGTTTGTACAGAATTCTTTTTTTTTTTTTACAGATTTTGTTCACAGAAGAATCACATAAGTAACTGAGCACACTTCCCTAGCTAAGACAATTCTTAAAACATAGCAGAAAAATGTAGTTTTTTTGTCATGTGAAAGGTACAGTGGCACGTTATTGTTCTTTGTAGAAAATATCAAATTTAAAAAGGTTCCTCCTGTTTCGTTGCTGTCATGTTTGTTTTGCAGCAGATGCACCCAAGTGTCTCTTTGAAGACAACTAAACATATAGGATGCTGTATTTGTCTAGTAGTTAGTATCGTTAGTGACAAAGTGAAGTATAAAGGTTAAGAGACAAGCTGTAAAAAGCAAAAACAGTCAAAATACCAAAACCAGCTTAAAAAAAAAAGTCAATGAAGTTTTCAAATCTGTGACTTGAGCACTGCTACAGAGAAGCTCTTCATTTCATTACGAATTACAGGTAAAGTTATGACGCAAGGAAAGCTATAATGTCTCAGCAAGAGCCTTCAGGTCTAAATTCTGTGATTAATAATCATAACTGGACTGATGATGCGAGTCATTCTGAGGTAAAGTCCCCTTTTGGCAGAGATGAAAACTACTGGCCTCTGTTTGAAATTCCTGGAATAATAGCAATGATGTGCAGACCGAAGAATAAACCCGAGGCTTTTGCTTTACATTTACAATTTACATCTTACAATTTATGGGGATTTTATTTATTTATTTATTTATTTTGGAGTGAATTAAATTCAATCTACCCCATAATGGGATCAGTTTGGTACAAGTCAACTGTATGAGTTGGTGAGCAACACTGAGCTGCAGGATTCTGGACTTCCAAAGTAAATACAGGAATTCCTGGGCAGAGTGAGCAACAGACCTAAGAGAATGTGCAGCGCTTTTATTTTTCCACCAGCCGATACGTGAAACAACTCAATCTCATCAACAACTAACAACCTGAGTGAATCTCTGTTTAAATATCATAATCAGACTCGAAGAGAGTTCTTTGTTTCTTCACAAAAAAAAGGACTTCAAGAAATGAATGCACACTAAGCACTCTGCAGTAGAGACCTTTACAATTC